TTAAAATTGTTTATAATAATGTCGTGCATCATCGATGCAAAAATCGTCTTTGTCTCCGTGGTTATTGGCGAGCGCGCTAATATCGTTTATTGTATTTTAATATTATATATGTGGTGTGTACAAGGACGTGGTGAAGCGCGATGAATAGGTGATTTACGAAATAAATTTATAAAAAAAAATTGTCCCTCGCCGGACACAATACGTACCTACCTACCTATACTACCTGACACAATACGTATCATTATCTTTAGGTCAGTATACTATGCGACATAATGATATACACACTGCGAGACTATTACTCTGTGGTGTCATATTTTATAAACCCAGAGGCGGTGCACGTAGAAATCCCCTCACCTCTCTATACATATAATATTATGCTGTCCGACAGACCGAGAGAATATTACGAAACCGGCCGGTGGTCTACCGCAGCCCGCGAATTTAGTTTCACCCGTCTCGCGTCTCTTCGTTTAGTCTTCGTCTTCGGCCGTCGTGTCTCCATTGTCTCTCGTAAAAACGTAAAATGATTGTCTTATTATTGTCGTGACATAACGTCGTAGGTACTATGGGTATTACTATTGTTGTTGTTGTTGTTTTTATCATATAATATTTATTATTATATGCCTACGTTTACCGCGGGGCCGGTTATGCGTCCAACTGTAAATAAATTGTACCATACACGACTTACGACGAGCGAGAAAAAAACCCACAGGATCTCCAAAGACACGATAGAAAAAGAACGAACTATACGTATTCCATAAAATAATCATCCATCAATCTATTTTCTCGTCACTCGTACAGGTGCGCAGAAGTCAAGAAGTATTAAATCGGTTGTTGGTATATTTATTATATACGTAGTTATTTCATATATTTCTGTCCTCCGGAGGCGGTTGCGGAAACCGCTATTATGTTATGTTATACCGTTGTAGTTATACTAGGTACCAATACTATGTACCATTGTACCAATATAGACGACTTATACAATTTTCAGAAAATAATTCCGACGGCTTATTACGGAAAAGGTCGAATGAAAATCCACGAAATGGGAAACGTTATTGAAAACCAATAACAGGGAAATTCTTTCTTAATTTTTTTTTTTTTAATTTACTGGAGTCGAGACGAAAATAACGTTTTTCTCGGAAATTATTTTGTCTTTTACTCTTCCACTAATGGTAAATATTTCGCCCTGGCACATACCTAACCTACATTGTTATGGACGTGTAAATATTATAGGTACCGTCACATCGCACATATTTTGTATTTCAATATTTCAGCAGTAGATATTACACTTTGTTGGCACGTGGCTGCTGCTGCTGCTGCCATTCGTTTTCTGTTTCAACAAATGTAATTTTAGTGAATAATTACTGTGCGAATACCTCTAATGCATTTAGTATTTACATTAAGTATGATGTCAAAAACAATATATACGGTTAAACACTTAAACAGAATATTAAAATTTGCCATTCCCATCGTGTTTGTATATAATCTGATAATGTTTAAAATTATGCAGCGAGTCTATATTATGAATAATGTAGTGATCTCTCACTAACGCTTATATTTGAGTGACTGACGTCTGTAGTTGGACCAGGTTGATCAAAAGGAATAAGGTTTTTCGAAGAGAGACAAAGGCACAATGTTAAATGAAGTATTTATTATGATTGAGTTAAACTTGTTATAAAATAAAATAAAATAATTGCTACAAAATGTTATAAAAGTTTGAGGACAGCACGTTAAGTAACTGCCCGGGAACTAGTTAAATCTACTTGTATTTACTGGGAATGTACTTAGTCTGGCGGCGATGTAGAGTGCGCGGACACTACGACCAGGTAAGTACTACATGTAGGGATGTGAGACTAATTCTGATTCTAAGGTGTACAGAGACTCATATTTATATGGTTCTCTGTACTCCCTGTTATACACGGTAGAGACTAGGAGATGGGCAAAAAGGCGAGTCGGCAGCTTGTTGTTATTGTAGCTGCCGAAAAGTAGTTTGCGACCAAAACGTAATAAAACTGAATCGGCTCCGCTGTCTAAATAGAAATGTCATTTTAACTGGTTCTTCTCACGTTCTTTGATTCTTGGAACTCGTAAAAAGAAATAACATATTAGAAGTGTGAAGGCCGTGGCTTTAATGTAATAAAGTAGAAAAAATAGTGAATCGACTCCGTCGGTTTACTACAATAATAATTATTGTCTTTGATGTTCAAATCGTTAATTTTTCGCTTTTCACTTACGAAAATTCGAAACCATAAAAAACCGAGTACTATATAATATTATATCCGAGTTCCTATAAAATAAATAACAAAATATCAAGTAATAATTAATATTATACATTCTAAAGTATGCCGGTTATTGTATAGTATTCTTTGTACAATATACCTATATAGAACGTCTGACCAAGAAATAAGAAACCCCGACAATAACAATAATAATATTTCTGCGCGTCTCAATTGAAACGGCTATACCTATTTGTACAATAATAATATAATATCATTATGTCGAATAGCATAATAATAATAATATAATATATTAATTCGTGACCTACTATATATAGACATATAGTATTATATTATGTCAAGTGGGCCGGGCGATTGTGCCGTTCACATTCATGCGAATAAAATACGTTTCCGTTCGCCGGTGTTGAACTGACACGCCGCGACCCTCCTGATCCATATAATATTATATATTTCATTGTTGTGCATTATACCTCCATCAGAAGTCTTCGATCTAGCCAGATACCTACGCAATAAATTACTATAAAAATCTATATACATAGCATGTAATATTATACATACCATGGCGTCCGTTGTTACGTTACGCAAAACTATATTATAATATACCGTTCGGTTGCAAAAATATAATTATAGCAGCGATTTTAAGAAAAATAAATTAAAATATTCGTTGCTATGACTAGGGTCCCGTGGTTTCTATAGTTCGGGATCATAGAGTAATAGACGTGTGTGACTTTACTAAAAAAACGTTCAAAATATTTGTAACCTAATTTTTTTAATTTGTAACCGACTTTTCGAAATTTGGCACAACTGTGATACTGTGAGGTTACAAATTTTAAAAATTAGGTTACAAATGGTTACAAATTAAAAGGAAAATTATGACTTTAATTTCAATCGATTTGGTGAAAGTGGGGGGCTCGCGTGAAGTTGTCCCCTCATTGGGAAACCTGTTGTAACTCTTGAACTACGAAGTTACCAAATTTTGAAAAGTTGGTTACAAATTAAAAAAAAAAAAGGTTACCAATATTTTGAAAGTCTTTTAGTAAAGTGGTGGGGGCTAACTTCACACACTTGAGTAATAGTAGTAGTTACTCTACTGTCGAAATTCGACACTTGTCGTTTGTAAGGCGTTTTGTATAGGCAATATTAAGGCAAAATAATGCTACTTTTACGAATTTTCGCGTTCCATAATACCGACGAAATCCGATGATGCAATTTCGATATTGGAACGGATTTGAACTCCTCAATGTACTTAATTTTGATACTACGAACGACTTTTTCCATTTATTTATCTGTAGAAGCGTAATTTTTCGTTATTGCATATTGTATTAAATGTATAAATACGCATTGCATTTTTTAAGTCAAACTTTGATAGTTGTATATTAGTACACATTTTTCACGTTATGTTAACAAAATCTAAACCCAATTTAAAAATCATTATGAAGTCCACCTAACTACGGTGGAACGAAAACAGATTTTTTAGCGGGAAAAACCGCCGTTTGTCGTCCACATTGATCAATATATATCTCTCTTCGCGGTCTTCACAATCTGTGGAAAGTGCGTGTGACGGTGATAATTAATGCGTATAAATCATAATCAAAAAAACATTTAAAACAATACGCAGTGGACCGAAAATCTCTCGGAAAAAATCTCGACTCGTTGCGGATCGCACCATCATAATATACAATATTATATAGGCCGCGTCAAAAATCCAACGACCTAGACGTAAACACGGTTCTGCACGCGGTACTTACCCATTATATACCTTGGTACCTGCAGCGATGTCCTTGACGATCGACGTCGACAAACCGCGATGTCATATTATTATTCTATCTCGTTCGCCGGCGACGTTCGGTTCGGAAGCACCTGACCCCGATTCGTCGCGCCAATCCTGTGCTATTTACAACGCATTATTATTATTTACACAATATAATTTAATATCGTTTTATTGCGGTGTGCGCGTAAACCGATAAACGCACAATATTATAATACGGCCGTTTCGTCGTTATTAATATTAAAATTGTTATTATCTGTCATTCGCGCGTACACGAAACCGTTTCATGGCCATTAGCCATATAAACATATTTTCCCGAACTATGCGACAAACCCAGTCGATAAAAATGTCTACCTACTGCACAACACACGCTGTTTACGAATTGCTCTACGCCCGCCCGATAATGTATATTATTATTATAATAGTTTATTATGATTTGTGATTAATGTATTAATTTAGTCGACGTAGTCGAATACTTAAAAATCGTGTTCGGTGCGCCGTTTGGTTTTAGATAATTATTTTAGGTAGGTATGTGTTAAACAATATTATAATGCCTGCAGTATAATATCGTATCGACGCAGCGTGTATGTTAATGGTTATCCTGGCGGAGATTATTAGATTTTTGTACATAATTTATGTGATATTATGTTTGATAATATTACCAGAATCCGTCTGTTATTCGAACCGTATTAAAAAAAAGGTGTTTCGTCGTTTTTGTTACAGAAATAGAAGCCAAAGAAGCTTGTAAATGGCTAAGAGCCTCCGGATTTCCACAGTACGCGCAAATGTATGAAGGTGAATAAATTATTATTATTATTACACCTCATGGGTCCGATTTTCCGAATTTTTTCACCACGACGTTTTCTTTCCTGTATAGATTTGCAATTTCCCATTGACGTGAACGGCGTACAAAACTACAAAAGGACCATCCGTTTCTAGACCTAGACTCGTTACAATCGTTGTTCAGGAGACTGCACGCTCTGAACCGTTGCGCAAACATGAAATTGGATTTTGTGCCAAAACACGCAGTGAGTATATACAGCTACCTATAATATACGTAGGTACATTGTTTTCTAGTTTTATATCGATCGATTCGATTTATATTATCGTTGTGCGGGGGTTTCGATCGATTAGAAACTCTAGCGTGGTAGTATTAATTAAAACCGACGCGATAATATTATATCATTTGATTATTAATATGTACAATAATTAATCAATGGTTGTATAATATTATGTCGAACGCGGAGATAAAACACGTGAAACGTATACGTGTTAATATTTATTTATAACACAACGAAACGCATAAATAATCAAACACGCGGACTGCAGCAGCTGTGTACGATAATATTTTAACACCACTGCACACGATAGTATAATATTATAACGCTTGTTTTAGTTACGATCGAGTCTGTAAAACAAAATATAATTTTATTATATTTAGCCCTCGACTAGCGCAACTGCACGACCCGATACCAAACCGTTCCAGCCCAATTCCAATCAACACCGAAATCAATATCTTAGATTTTACTCAAAACCGTTGCTATCCTATATTATGTCGTCCCGGCCTGGGGTTTCACTTATCACCTACCACGGTCCAAGATATCGGACTACGCAAGATCAAGGCCTCCCCGAGGATTTTATCAAAAAAACACCCTCCCGCTCAAAAAACGCTTTTCTACAGAAATCCATTCTCCGTTTACACATCTATATATACTCTACCCACCACCTAGAACTCCCAGAGTCTAGGGAAATGCTACCGACAACAATTACCCTATACTACTGCTGTAACCGCGGTAACTTATTAAAACCAATATAAACTGAAACCTTAATAGGCGCATTAGGCAACCGTCTGACACGAGACCATATTATTATTATAGCCATACAATCGGAAAGATGTGCAAAGAAGCACAACCCGTCTTTGTACTCGGATACAATAATATTTTTGAATAATAATAATGTGGGTAATACCATTTATTATAATCGACTACGATAATACATAATCTTTTTATAAGTAAAGTACAAATTGATATAATATATGTTTAATGGCTTAATCGCCATGTATCGCTTAATTTTTCGGGGGGCACTCCTTGCTGCACCTATTGTGATTTTCGTAAAAAAAATTATATTGTCCCGTTAAATTTTGCTGCAAAATCTGAGCGTCGATTTATGCGCAACAAATGTTGGCACCATCACATTACAATGGTGATGATAGTCGGCGTGATGCCAATATAAATAGTAAAACCGTTTTAGCGTAGCATTTTGCGCCAAATTTGGTGTAAATGCCACCTCGTGTTTCCACACCACCCATATAAACATTTCTATTTCCTAGCCTGAAGTCATTTGTGCAATAATTTATATTTAACTAAATTAGATAGGTACCCTTTTTAGATAATATACCTTATACATATAGATATATTAAGGTAATAACTATAGATTTGATGTCTCAGTAATATAAGTACCCAGAGCTGGATGACCATTATGATTAATACTTAAGGATTTAGGTTTAGTTTAATACTTTTTGCTTGTACAAGTCACATAAGACATACAGACGAGTATAGCCTCTTGTATTAAACTCTAAATATATAATGAGTATTTAGTTATGTCGTTTTTGCAGTATTTCACTGAGTAGAGGTCAACAATAATGCCTTAAAAATGTGTGTCCCTAAGTGTCCATGTGTAAAATTCCTTCCTTTTTCCTCTGATCTCATCCCCCTTGCTGCTCTCTCCTCTCCGTCGGAGCTATTTGTGATTTCGAACATAATATTGTTTTTTTACTGTACATCACTATAATATACTCTTGTAGAAACACACTATTTTCCTTCTTCTATCTTCATTAGGTTATCATTATCCCTGTCCCGTAATTTAACTTATTCTAAATTCTTGTTCTCTCCTCCCGTTATCGCCAATATTATTTCCTTAATTGAATCATTTAAAAAGCTGCTTCTTGATTAAACCGCTTTTATAAACTGTGGAATTGAAAATACAATTTTGCCAAAATGTGACATAACATACCTAATATTATTGTAATAACGATCGGCGACGTGTGTCACAGGGTGACGACTCGGACTCCGAGGGGGAATGCGCGCTGAGCGAGAACTGGACTTTCCAGAGGGAGTCGAGGAGGTGGTCCAGGGTGGACGACATCGTCAACACGGCGGTGATGCTGCAGCAGCAGCTGCAACCGTCGCCGCCCGTCGACCGACATCAGCAGCAGCAAAACCACGACCTCCAATCGTCGCAACAGGTTGGCGTCGGAGGCAAGTTTGGAAGTAACGCCATGCCACAGCCACCGGTGCAGTCGGCCGAGCAGCTTCAGGCGGCCGACGCGTCGGACGCGGCACTCATCTCGCGATTCCGCCGGTCGGGCAGCGATCGGATCAGGGACGGGGCCAAGGCCATCCTGCGCAGGGTGGAAAGTCTGAAGACGAGACGTCGGAAACAGCGCAACCGCGACGGCGTAGTCATCGGTTCACAGCAGGTTTGTGAAAACTTATGATATATTATTATATTATGTACATACACGATTTTGCTGTACGTGATACAATTTATTACGATATTAAGTATATGATTTAAGTAATTCAGTGTGCGTGGTCAATAGAGTTCGTCAAGTCGGTTTTTGGTGGTTAAACGAAATATGACTTGACTTTGCACTGAATATAATATTCGAGTCACAGAATATAAGTATAGGTACTGCGGATAACATCGACAGCTCTAGTGAACACAAGTCGTCCAGACGAATTGACCCTTGTGTGTTTTTTCTTAAAAAAACTGTATTTTTACGATATATTTTTATATTGATAATGATTTCTTATCGGTTTTTTTTAGTCCCAACTTAAATATTTTAAAATATATTTTTTGTTTTACCATAGTTTTATAAATGTTGGTATTTGCAATGGTATTTTTGTTTCTGTATTCGGTCCAATGACTATTAATTTTTAAAACAATTCTCGCATAATAATATAATACATATATAAAAACAAGTTTATTAAGTTTAATAAGATGTATTTAGAAATCTGTACAAGTCGCACCTGATTAAAAGTTCAAAAAAAAAATTCAGCAATTGTAGTCGACCCTTTACAATTTAGCTGTAAAGGTATATTTTGAATTTCACGATGCTAAGGAATACCCAATAGTATTTTAAAATCAATTATGGATAAAAAAAAACTGATGTAGAAAAATATTCTGATTTCAAATAATATTATAGACAAGATAACATGATAATATTATGACGAGTCTCCACAAAATTAATAGAAATGAGCCTTGTAAAATTAAAATTATATCCGTTTTGATCTTTCATGGACATTTACAGGAAAATATTCACTAAAATAAACAAATACATTTATTGCTTTCTTTTTTTAATAATTTGAACATTAATTCTGAATGTATAGGCACTTAATATAAGCTTGATGGGAACAACATAAATACATAATACAAGCTACAACTATTATAGGATCTGCTGTGTAAAATGTAAATAGGTTCGTAAAATAACCAACAGAACAAGTAAATAATATAATGAGGTTATCAAAAACCAAAAGGTTAAATATTGAGGTCGTAAAAAATGTTTAACCATAAATTATAATACGAATTTCTCCCAAATATTGTACTTACTTATGTACGCACAGCAGGATCTATAAAAAACAATATGACGGAAGAGCCGCAATAAAAGGTTACTGTTGTCTGTTACACGAGTGTCCGTCGGTCGATCTAAAAACATAATATTCCAATGAGAATAATTACCATAAATGTGTATAACTTACAAACCTAATGAACACTGGAGTTCCAAAACATATACATATATACCTAACTTTAGTTTCAAATAAATTATTGTAACGTTTAGCCTTTAGTACAATAACAATATATATACATAATATCCTCATTAAATAGTCATTATATCGATGGATTTGTTTAATTCCTCGTCCCCCGATTATTTCCAAAAACCAGATGTCCTTGAGCCTGAGATTTCTAATTTTAATGTATTGCTATATAAGTATTGGTAAAATCTCGAACGCGTTAAATTATAACGAACGGCAATGCGACCATAAAAATAATATTATTAAATGTCTTAAACTCTTAATTACCTGAATACAATTTGTTATACGATAACATTAATGCCCATGCTTATATTAGGTATCATGGTTTTTTTCAGGAAAACGATATAACTATTTCAAAATTAAAAAATATAAAAATATTTATAAAATACGGTGCATTTTTAATATTTGTAATTTTCTACCCATATTTATTTGTGGCCTAGTCCAATATGATAGATTAACTACAAAAATAATATTATTTTCCGTATACTATGCATCTATGTCATTATGTCATGGATTTTTGCCAAATGATTAGTTATATATATACCAAATCTAGGTGGGTGACCTTTTTCTACTCAAATTGCTTCTCATAACGTACCTGGATTATAAATCAATATATCGATAGTTGTACGTAACTCGTCATTTAATATTGGGTGTATGGTGTTCGGCAAACTTATCTTAACTTAACCGTTGCCCGGAATAAAAATTCTGATTCGCAGCAGTACGTTATCAGGTAGGCAATCTACGTGCAGTAGATCGCGGACCCCGAACTATTTGTACTCAAGTGTATGATTTAACTCTAAAGTATCAAAGTTATACCAAGTTTGTAGTTTTTATTTAATTAAGTGTACGGTGGATTAAAATAATCAATTAATACAAAATATCCTAACCTAACCTGACATTACTAAAATCCGACGAGTAAAAAAAAATCAAATTGATCACTTTTTAAATCAGCCTATCTTCTTCCCAGAGGTCTAATCTACACACAAACAGTTTATTAATGTATAGATGTTTATGTTTATTTTAATAAATAATCGGTTGCTAACAGTTACTCCTCCCAAACAGCTTATAACAACCAAACGAACAACCACGTCGAGAAAAATTTCCTGTTATGACACCCCCTTGGAGGTCGTTATCCGACATAAAAACTATCCCTGCATGTTTTACTCTAGGTCATAACCTACTTGTATACCAAATTTCATTCAAATTCCTTCAGAACTTTTAGCCTGATCGAGTAACAAATATCCAAACACACAAATACTTTCGAATTTCTAATATTAGTATGATTTTAGACCTGTGTGTTATATTTAGTGAAAACCATATTATAACTTGGTAAAAATCAGTAGCGTCCGCAGGGGGGGGGCAAAAGGGCTGAAGCCCCCCTCCATTGCCCGTATTATTGTTACTTTTTCAAAACAATATTAATCAAGTTAAGCTGTCAACTATAGTAAGCAAGAAGTAAATTTCATATGTGTCTTACCAGAATGAATTCATTTTTGAAAGAACATTGTATTTGCATACCAATTTTCATAAATTATCTGTAATTTTTAGGTAAAAGTATGAACTACTTGTATGAAAGACCTTGTATTAAATTGTCTAGCTTTAGCTATATATATATTTTATATATTATAAGTTTTGAACAAAAAATTAACTGTCATTTTGACGAAATTTGAACTTTAAATGCTTATAAAAAATAAACATGGTGCCTATATAGTGTTTGAAGTATGAAATATTTCACAAAAACGTGACACATTGAATTTTTTTTACACAAATAAAAACACTATTTATTTATTTTTTTAACACAATGTTCAGTGTTCTAAATTCTAATGATAGAATTCAGTATTTATACAATATACATGTATAATATTGTATACCTACTTGTATCATTTAGACATTAAAATATTTAAAAATTTTGAATACCATTTTAAATGTATAATACCAAAGGTTAGGTATACATACAGGTACCATATAGTTATGAAGGTAATTTATGACAATTATATGTAAATATAAAACTTATTTAAAAATAAAACAAAATATATCAAAATACTGAAATACCTATTTCATTTTTTTAAATTTCATGAAATTTTCAAACACTATGCCTATGTAGGTATCGTTAATATTTTAGCTATAATAAAATAACTTACGTATTACATTTTTAAGGTTTTTGACCGGATAAATAATTTTTTATTGACATTTATATAGAAAAAAAAAATTAATTATTCAAATACAATCCAAATGAAGACGGTATAAGTGTATAACCAAACATTTAAATACATTTTCATTTTTCCTTTCTCCAATTATTTTTATAAGCACTGAGAATTTTCAATTTCGACCTCCTAAAAGTACCAACTAGATCCAATTTGCTTCCAAAAACATACACTGGGCATCGAAGCTTATGATCAGACCATTTTTTCTACCATAAAGGCTACAAACATTTTAAAATACCTCAAATAAACGTCTAAAACTGGACAATATAAAAATGTAACTAATTTTCAAACCCCCCCATTGAAAAATCCTGCCACTGGTAAAAATTATATTCCTATAACTCTAACTTTTCGACCGTTGTCCCGGGAACCTACACATGCCCATCGTAAATAACGAGTTAATAAAACATTCAGAATTATTGATTAAGTACTCACCTAGTGGGGTCTGAAAATATACTGATTGCATAATCACAAGAGTGTATCACGTGCAACGCCGAGCTGGATGGCTATAATATAATAATATAATCGAACGTGTCCTGTCCGACTCACTGATTGGTCAAAGTAGGTCCTAGATAATGGTAGTTTGGTTTCCCGACCGGTGTGTCCCGAAATTCTCACTAAGATTAGGTTTTTTATAAAAATTGTAATGTATCTTGTTTTTTAAATTTCTATAAAATAAATATTTAGGATAATTATGATAATATTTTTTTTCTATCCTACCATTTTAAATTGTTTCCTAGTAATATAACTATACTGATATACAACTACTTTGGTATTAATAATTAATATGATGAAAGTCTAGTATAAAAAAAAATATGTATACATAATACATATATATATAAGTCAGTGACAAGTGTGCCGAGGCTAAATATGGGTTGGAATTAGTGTGCCGAGGGGGGAGGGGGAAAGGTTGGGAAACGCTGATTTGAGGCTTACAATTTTCACGGTACCTGCCTAATATAATATTATAAGTCATAAGTCTAAGATATTTTTCGGTAAGATATTATAGACGGAAATTAGCGTAGGACGTAGGTGTATGGTTGTACTGAAATATTTTACTCTCGGGCGAAGCAGGGTAATTCAGCTAGTATATAATATATTATATATATAAGACCATAACATATATAATATGATATTCATTAAAACAACTCAGACTAATTATACCTTGAAGCTAATAATTAAAAAGGTGGGCAAGTGGGTGTCGCTCTGCTGTACAGTAGGTCACAAGTGGGTCACTGTATAATGGATGATATTAAATTTGAATTCAACGATATAATATCATTGTAGAAAAACGATTCTGAGCGGAGACGGTATGTCAATCTAGGTATAAGACATATTATATACATTATACATATCTATGATATTAAACAAAAAATTGACCTATAATAGGTAGGTACTAGGTACCTATAATAAATTCTAAATTAATCATATCACAATATCCATTAGGTACTTATAACGCGTTATACATCAACAACAAACCTTGA